TATTTTATGTATTATTCCTGGCCAGTGCAAGGAACATGGATGGACAGCTCCTTGCATACCAAGTTCCAGTTTCAATGCCTGAACAAAGTGTACAGATTGCATCTATTAGTGATTAATTGAATACAAGTTGAAGCTTCCAAGAAACAGAGACCAGAAACTAGAGCATTCACAATCATACAAAGGATTAATGTGAGTAAACCCACTCATTATCAACAGATCATGGTACCAAAGATGTGGCTTAATTGAATACAAGTTGAAGCTTCCAAGAAACAGAGACCAGAAACTAGAGCATTCACAATCATACAAAGGATTAATGTGAGTAAACCCACTCATTATCAACAGATCATGGTACCAAAGATGTGGCTGGCATGCATGAGATGAAATGCTTAAATTGTGTTCCCTCACATTTTTCACGTTTAACGCTATCCCAATTTTTAAGGCCTACTGAGGCTGACAACACAGGAGCAGATCAACTGAACTTCACAAATGGAACAGAGCCCATAAAAACAAGTTGGGAAACTGTCTGAATTGGGGCTAGAATCAGAAAATTACTTGCTATATAGTTCATTTAAAACGGCTACTATGAAGAAAATAGTTATCTAGACACTTCACTTTTCACTTGCTTAAAGAAAATCAAAATAGTATTTTTGAATCAAGCTCCTTCTATTCTTAGGATCAAAATGTTAGATTTTCAATAGGTGACAAATGTAGAAAGTATACAGGCAACTTATTCAGAGGTTTAAATGCAGGAGATGTCATGTGCAGAATGGTTCAATTCAGCCAATCCAGGCTACCAACCATGATCAATATATCCTAGAATATAGGATAAAATAATATAGCATATTAACGGAAAGCACAAGAAGAGAGCTGAACCAAACAAATCTGGTACTTTATACTACAAATCAATTAAAATACTAGCTTAAATTCTGAAAAAAAAAACCCACAGGTGACTTGAACATAACAGAAGATTTATGCAAAGTTTAAAAGAAGTCAGAAGAAATATTTCAATTAAAAAAAAATTACCACAGGCCTGTAGAAGATTGATTAGCTCCTCCTTCAACAATATGGACACTCTCAACAAAGCTTGGTATATCAACAGCTTTTAATGAAGAGGCAATGCTTGTTTGACTACTATCCTTTTCTGTGTTCATAGAAAGAGTAATGTCTTCATTAGAAATTTCAACTTCATCTTCTTTCACAGACTCTTTCTTCTTTTCCAAAGGGGTATTCCAAAACAAACTAGCACCTATAGGGATCAAGTAAAAACATGGTGCAACTTGAACTAGGCTACTGCACCATACACTGTATGTAATGCACACCTTGACACAACTTTGCGCCACTTCTTAATGCACTTAATCCATTACTGATACAAACTAACCCAATTACTGTACTAGAAAATTCTTACTGTACATGCAACATTTGTTAAACAACTGAAAAATGGCAATCCATCAGCAGCTTGTCTTTGTATGCAGTGCTGGTTTTCAGTCCTAAAATTGGCATAAATAATTCCAAGGAAAAGTGGAGGACTGAGGATTCAATGATCCCATTAGAAAATAGAACAGCATCCAGTGTGTTAAGATTAAAATATTATAGCTTCAATTATTTTTTTAAACATGTTGACATTTGCTTTGTGTTAGTCACGAGCAAACTAAGTTAAACACTCCAGTTACTTTCTAAAATTGTAAATCTGAAGCATTAATGTTAGGGCTGCACAGTGTGGGGCACTAAGCAGTTTTCTGCAGATTCATCATAAGCTATGAACAACTAGAACAAAATGGCTCCAACGTTTAGCATTTTCCCCTGAGTTTAGCATCATTTCCACAAAATGTACAATAAAGCATTACCTGTACTCACTGCAATGCTGACACTTTTCTTCATGTGTAATCCTGGGGAAGACTGGGTTTCCATGGCAACAAATTCTACCTGCTTCTCAGACTGTATGCTATTGTTTCCTATGGATCTGGAAGCACAGGACCGAAGAGTTTGTGCCTCTAAAAGCTGCTGAATCTGTAAACAAGATCTGTGTTAACTGAACAGCCTGGATAAAAGTAGGAGAACCAGTTACTATAGATTACTTGTCAACAATTTGTCCTGTATATATTTTAAGACTATTCTTTTCTGTGAACTATACAAGGAAGTGTTTTAAAGCCCTTTTTATATAAGAACATAAAGTAGGGCTTCATACCACAGCACACAGAAATAGGTAGTAAAACTGCAAGTCATTAATTTAGCTGGCTTCTGTCCTATACTGATTTTCCAGCATAAGAAATGCTAACAATAAAAACACAGAAAGTACTGTTCAGTTATATTAAAACTTATACTTGCCTTAGAGGGGATTGAAATAGAAACTCCAAGATCTACCTTGATAATATCATACCCACCATGTCAAAGAGCAATTACTTCAGTAATGAAGCCACACAAATCATTGGAGTAACCCAACCAACCTGAGCCTGTAGCAGCTTGATTTGTTTATGTTGTTCAGCAAGAATTCTGTAAACATCTGAAGATAATTCCATCATTTCGTTATTTGATACTGTACTTGCAGCAGGAAGATGCATACAAGCTGAATGTGTTGTATGAGACTGTGCATTGCCAGGATCAACTGGAGATGAATTTCTTACTGCAGCTGATGCATTATCAGTAATGGGAGAACAACTCCCTATTATTCCACAATGGCCTAAGTGCATAGGACTACTTGTGGCACATACTGGATTGCAGCCACCATTTACACATTCTTGATTCTGATGGAACATTAATTTTGTACGTTCCTGGGTAGGACTTGAATGATTTTCAGAGGTGTCACTGGAACCCATATTACATAACCCTTGCCAAACATTTGGTGGACTGTATTGTATATGGCCATACTGCTGACAGTTGCAGATACAAGGAGAACAGCAAGATGGACCTTGAACTGGTACCCGAATTCCCAGTGGTCTTCTCAGATAAGATGGTGATAGTGCAATAGTATGCCAGGGATACTGGGAAACTGCAGGAGGTTGGTTAGACTTTTGTGCTGTAAAGCCATTAATAGGAAGTTCTCCTTTCTGTTGAACATCATCACTACTTGCCACCTGTCTTTCAGAAGGAATTCCATGATGATGCAGGGACATATCCTGTGAAAGTTCATTACAGGATCCTGAAGGAGAAGAAGTAGATACACAGCCCTTTCTTGCTTGAGAGCCAACTGTATTAGACTGCAGTTGTAGTGGAGACTGCATTCCTTTGCAAGGTTTTAAAGATGTAATTCTGTGTTTCAAATGACTTGGTATTTGCTTTGGAGAAGGCTCTCTGGCACTTGAAGCAAAGGTCTGCCTCCCAGTATCAGAGCTCTGAGAGTGCTGGGGTGTATGCTCTACAGAATATACCATCTTAGGAGGTTGAGGTCCAAATGAAGGTTGATTTTTAATCACAGCATATTTAGATGTTGGTACAGATTCTGTGGAGATGCCTTCAAGTACAATGGACAGTTCAGGAACTGAAGGATGGATCTCGGTCATCTGGAAACCAAGACAGTTTAAAAATAAAAATGTTTATGTATTCTCAGTTTATCCAATTAATCTGAAGTATTTTTCTCTTCTCACCTACACTATAAATAGAAATTAGCGCAAAGAGAATAAGATAATGTATACACTGTCACATTAAGAAATACATCTCTACCAGGAGACCTAAAATATGATACCCTGCCAAGTCCTCCAATGAGGGATTTTTGTGCTATGCTAGCATAGTTTCAAATATCAGTCTCATATATATTTTGGGAAGATACATAAGTGCAAGTGCTTAACCTGAGGAGAACAAAAAGGGAAAAAACACTGTAAAAATGCTGTACCTAATTGTGTTAATGTACCAATGTAATACTATAAAACATAATGTTTGCAGCTATTGGCTGTCATTGATTCACTTTTAGTTTAGAAATAAGAAGAGAAAACAATCAACTCCAACTCAGCATTTATTTAAGTTCTTAATAAGCATATCAGTATAGTTCATATTTTTGCTGGCTCTTGTGTTGGTATGCTGTGAGAATACCTCCCCATTAAATTAAGTCAAGCAATTTTGCCATGGTTCAGCTAGTTTACTTCTTTTTGCATATTCCCACAGCATAATTATGCAGACTCCTAAAAAAGGGTCTTCTTCAAACTTAATCTGAAGATTTAGCTGCAGCAATAAAGGGTTAAGAGTACTGTAGTACAACCTAGTGGCAAGATTATGTCATAACACTAATCTGCAAGAACATTAAACCTGAATAATATTAGTTACTCAGATATATACTGTAAAGCTAATTTTTTTTGCACAATTCCAGACAAGAAATCTAGAATATACCTGTTGATTGATTGGATGAGGACGGGGAAATGGTCTTGGAGATGCATCATCTTCCACACCAGAGTCATGATCGCTGACAGAAAATTTATTGGGTGAGCAATCTTGGGATAAACTATGTAAAAAAAAAAGTTGTATTACTAATAAAATAACCCTGATATCCATTTTATACTCCTGTAATACAATATGAATAATCCCAGGAATCACACAGATTCTAAATTCTATATACAATATCCCATTCTATAATATAGTAGTCTTAAATAGTGTCTGCAACTCACTGACCTGTCATGGCAATTTACACATTTTTATGATCACTATTAAACAGGAGAAAGCTGAACAACTGTTTGCAAACAAGTTAAAGCATATAAATTTTACTGTGTCTTTCAGCCACATTATGTTTATTTCACTGGTTAAAGGTAAAGTGTTTCTCCTAACACAGTCTCTTCATTAAAGTGAATTATACTGTGCGATTAGACAGCAAGTTCTACAAAATGTCAATACCCACATACTGTCTGATATCTCTTGGGTATTTCTTCTTTGGGATAATAAATTACAACTTATTATGTTAATGAGATGAACAACCTAAGAAATCCTATTGTCTTGCCTCCTACTGTTTTCTATAACAATACAACATTTCACATCATAGCAGATAAGAACACCTACCTGGTTGCTACTGTACTGCTACTATTCCTGTTGAAAATATTTATTGCAGGATACTGTAAAAATTTTGGAAGTTATAGAATTGTATGCCAGCAAACAAATAGTAATTATTTACATGGAGAATTTAAAAAAAACGACTCACCTGTTTATGGAAACGTTTTTTGAAATTTTGCTGAAGAACTCTGTTTCTGCATTTTTATTTTCTGATTTCAATTCAAATTGGATAGGACATTTATCTGAAGGTTCTACATCCTGAAATGAAACAGATGTAGATGCTAAGCCTGATCATCTATCATCACTACAAAACTACAGTTTTTATATATGTAGGGGGATTCACCATTGCTATACAGAATGCCATAAAGTGATGAGGTGCTTGATAGAAGTAAAAAATTGAAAATCATTATTGCGGCAATTCTCTAACAATAATATTGGGTACAGTATAGAAATATTCAGGCACATACAGTATGAAAAACAGAGTTTCAGCAGACTTTCCATTGTGACTTGGCCCAAAAAAAGATGCTTCTAAATTAACAAACCTAAATTAAAAAAAAAACCATGGAGAGAAGTCCTACTTAAGTACTTCTATTTGTTTCTCAATCTCGTGAAGTTATAACAGGAGTTATAATTACTACGCTGGTACTCAGAAAAACGATGCAGAAGAAGTCATCGTAGTTAAAATAACCACCTATTAATCTTTCCAAACTGAGAAAACTAAAGGATTACATAGTTTATCCCTTTCATCAACAGCAAACATCCCACAAATGGCTCAGCAGAAGCAATGGTTAAATCTTTTAGAATATGTAAATTATTCAAAATGTAACTTTTCTAAGATATGGTTGGCCCAACATCTTTTATGACCAATCTTGAAATCAAAAAACTAAACTATCCTTTTCAGTTCCTACAGTTTTTCCTTTCTGCACACAAAAATCAGTTAGTTGCCAAGATTCTTCACCCATATTCTCCCAAGATGCTAATCCACCCAAGATTCTTATTTTAAACCTACCAGATAAAGGTAGAAAGAATGACTAGCCCAAGAGTACCTAAATATCTCAAGCTGAGTAAGAATTTAAATCTAGATCTCCAGTCTTAATCCTAAAGTTGTTCCTTCATGGTAACATTTCAAAAGCAGCTAGTACTTTTGGAAGAAACTTCCATTTAAAATTTCTAAACAGAGTATACTTACTGGAGTGTTAAGACGTTTGAAGCAATATAAAAACCATTTCACAATTTGCATATATATGCATTCCAGTTCTTGAACATTTTGTTCTTATAAACAAAGTATGGCCATGCTGCTATCACATATCCAGCAATGATAGGAAATCAAGCAACTTACTTTGAACAGATGTAATGTTTCTTTGCATGTAAGTAGCTGGAAGTCTAGTTCAGTATGCCCATCATAAGGAAAGCATTCATAAAATTTTGGATCTTTACGATTCAAAGCAAAAAGAACTACAAGAAAGCTTCCCGATTCGGAAAGTACTCTAAAGAGAAGAAAAATATTCTGTAGACAAAGCAATGCAAAAATCACTAATTCAAAATTTCTGTGCAACAACCTAAACCAAGTAACTATAAATATTGAGCAGAATTTAGTGTGCTTTTTAAAAAAAATAGTAAAATATTTAGCCAGCCACTCTAGAGTCTGAATCACTGTCTGTATAGCACATCATTGTTTATCACAAAATAATTAAACAATAAGTTCATATTACCTTCCTAGAGTATTGTGCAAAACTATTACTTCTCCTATGGTTTGCAAAGCAATAAATGCATGCAAGTGGAATGCAGGATGATGTTATACTTAATCCCAAATGAATTTATTCCAAACACTATGAATACTCTGTGGTTGCAATAGGGCAGGTGAGGCACTGCTCTATGTTCAGGTCAAATACTTAACAGCACTGAAGGTGGTTTGCAAGCATCACAGCTCCAACCACTTGTATAAAGACTGATTAGGCTGATTAGGCAGGCTATGTGAGAATGTGTGCGGCTTAAATCATTTTATGAATTAAGAACTACTTTTGAGCCTGGATCATTTCATATTTCACTTCATTTTGGAAAGCAAAACTGTAGAATATCTTTAGCCCAAACTCTAGTTGCAATTCAAAATAATAATACTTTTAACCATCTTTAAAAGTTTATTTCAGATCGTGTTTTAGCGGACCTCTCCTATAAGACTCTACTGGCTGTGGGTATCTGGCTGGGTTTGTAAAAAGCTCCACCCCACTTCTAAAACAGTGAAATACATTTTCCTGGTCTAGAAATCTGCTTTACTTCTTCTTGCATAATATTTCTACATTATTTGAGGCTCTCGTTCTTTCTGAGGATCTTTTTCTTAACTGTCTCAAATTTTTAGTAGTATTTTATGTTGTCTACCAGTTCTGATTTGTTTACTATTTATTTGTTTTAACTACCTATTTTTAATGACCTTTTCAATTATACATCTTGGGTATTTTAGTAATAAAATATAAATTAGCAGTAAGAAAAAATTCCCTATTACTATTAATTGAGAAGAGCTACTTTTAATTATAATTACCTCTCTTGGATTGATGAGCTGTATAAGTATCGCAGACATAAAGCCCAAACCTGTGGATTGTGGATATGAAATACTCCACTCAGCCAGCTAGAGGAAAGGGAGGAAAAGATACTTCTGAACACTCACATCATAACATTTGCATATCATTATAGGAATAAAAAAATCTGAACTGCATATCTGAGATAACCTGCAAATATATTGCAAATAGAATTGCCTTTGCTCATAATACAAATCAAAAAACTTTTTTTTTTTTTTAAGTCCACCCACCCAAATACTTACACGCCAATCAGTGGCAATGTATATACTTTGGGGTCTGATTCCAGAATTAGAAGAAGTTTCCTCGTTTGATCCATTGAAAGATAACTGCAAGCAAAAGAAATTACTTTTTTTTAACAAAGAAAAATGATTTTAAAGAAACAAAGACATTTCCTAACTAGCAAAAAGCTATTGACAAAGAAGAAGCAAATAAAGGAGATAAACAAAGATTCTTTCACATTTTATATACACAGTGAAGAGAAATGCATGAGCTTCACACAATAGACAACGCATACAAGATTAAGATTTTGTGTAGTACTCTTTTCAGAACCCTTCTGAAACATAACTATTCAATGTATACATTTTACCCAGAAGGAACAGAACTATGTATTAATTACTCTAGTGTTGAAGTAATTGTTGGAAATAACGCTCAGAAGATGGAGAAGTCAGGCAACTGGCAATTTTACACATTAGTCAATGCATTTAATATTACTACCATCCTATGGAAACATTTCAAGCAGCTTTCAAATGGTCAAAAAGATGACCAAAAAACCCACCAAAAAACAAAAAACCTACCCTTTTCTGCCTGAAGGACCAAACATTTGAATTATCTGTATAGCTGTCATAGTAATGCAGTCCTAGGAGATAAGCAGTGTAACGTACAACTAGATAAATTGAACCTGATAAAGTTAACAGTGACAATACACTGTCACCAGTTCATTCCATTAATAGACAATACCTACTATCACTTACTATACAGAAACTCAGAAAAAACTAATCTTGCATTAACTTTTTTTTTGGTGGGGGGTGCTTGCATTTTTGACTCCTGGCGATTGCCTGGACAAGTCCCTGCAGTTTTCTTGGCAAGATTTCAGAAGTGGTTTGCCATTTCCTCCTTCCTAGGGCTGAGAGAGGAGGACTGGCCCAGCTGGCTTTGTGCCTAACTCACAGTCTCCAGGTTTTTAGCCTGGTACTTTAACCACTACACCAAACTGGCTCAATAAGGAAGGTGCAATGGCCAGACTCCTTTCTGTGGTGGTGTAGAGGAGTACACAGATGGCTTTGAAGGAGATATGTGGCAAGCATTAGGGAAATATAAACTCAGCCTGGGAAGCAGGAAGGGGGTAAGAAACTCAAGATTGCCCCACCTTGACTCTCTTTGGTATAAGATGGAAGGAAGGGGAAACGCTGTCAAGCTTTCAAGATTCTGCTATCCTAGCCTCTATCAATAGAATATTTCTTGCGTCTGTTCCCTGATCTGGTCTACCTCAAAGGGCTGACAGGCAGAACAGGGACTGGCAAAAAGGGCAGCTCAATTTATACTGGTATGCTGGCATACTTTTCAGCTGGCTCAAGGACTGGAGGAAAGCACTGTGGCATTTATTCTTCTCCACTCTTACCTGCCATCTATCAATTTTTACTGCTGTCTGTTACTAAGTACTTTGTATAAGAGAGAGAGTGTGTCTCTCATGGCTGAGTTCAAGGTTTTTCTTAACAAGTTATTATAGAATCTTTCAGCATACTAAGTATTTACAGTTTAAAGTTCTTGGAGATCAGCATAAACTTCTAGAGCCTGCCCTAAAAGAATTAAAACTTTGCAGTATTATTTTGGAACATTTCACAAGTGTGCCTGTCCAGCATCCTACAATAAACACCTTAGAGCTGAGAGAGAATTGACTGGCTCAAGGTCACCCAGGTGGCTTTGTGCCTAAGGCAGGACTAGAATTCAGAGTCTCTCAGTTTCTAGCCCAATGCCTTAACCACTACACCAAACTGGCTCTTTAATTTAAGAACCAGAAAATGTTTTCCAAGTTTCCTTAGGAAGCATTCAGTGAAATACGCACTCTTAAATGAATCATGAGTAACGGACATTTCCAAACTCAAATTAACTTACCCACATTTGTAAGTTCCTTGGACATGAGCAAGACTCATATTACTACTTAGGTTTCTAGCAAGGGCTGTAGGAATTATTGGAACAGGCTTCACAGGAGTGTATTTTAAAGCATTGGCCACTGTAACTGCTGCCCAGTGAAAGTCAAAATTTAAGTTGTCCATATTCTCCATTGAAGAGATGTAAACTCTTAAAGTCAGCAGTTTGGAAAGTTCTAAAGAATCTTGGGTGTTCAGATTCTGATGCAGTATCTATAGAAAGAAGGTATCAAAGTGAATCTCAGGTAGACATATCATTAGCAGGACATGTTCAAAGCAGGGAGAGGCATCAGCAATAGCATTATTTCTTAGCCATGTTTCCATATGTCTCACCACAGTTGGAAAGAACACCCAAAACAACAGCTATTGTACTCCAGTTGTTCTTATCTTGGCTTTTACTAACAAGGAACGTGCCAGAAAATATGAATGCTAGAGAACAGGATATTGGGAGTCTATGAGGACTTATTAAATCTAAATCCAGATTTTTTGTGTTCAAGTATGCAACCATTTTTAATAACATAAGATTATAAATAGAAACTCAAATACTATATAGTCAAGACAGGATATCACCACAAGGTACCACTAAAGAATAAAAACAATGTTCCCCAAATTCTTACCTTAAAAGCTAAGCTAAAATCCTCAAAGGTGTGTACTACAATATCATTTGATGAACATCCCCAAACACCAATTCTGCATGGGATGAAAAAGTCTCCTGGAAGAGGTGCTGTGGGAATTTTCCCCAAACCACTTGGTTCTTCACGACCTGGATCAAAACGGTCTACTGATAGCAATACACGTTCACCATCTGTGCCAAAAAATTAGGACAATTAATATGCTTTCAATTTTCATTACAAATTTACTAGCCCTAAAAGTTTACCAATGCCAAAGTCTAGAAAAATTCTGCTCCAAAGAATTGAATGACTATAACTCTGCAGCCAGAATGCACTCAAAATATTGTAAAAAACTAAAGGTCCAGTTCTGACTGAAAAACTCCATGTACTTCACAACAGGCAGGAAACACAAATGAAGACTTGTCTCCAAATCATTAAAGCAGATGCAACTTTGCAAGGCTCACATGGTTGCTTCAATAGCAGTTTCCTGTTGTCTCAGTATGCAGAGCTGCTTCAATTTCTAGTGAAATAACTGTTATACGTACACTGGACCAGCTTTCAAAGCAGCCATGTGTGCTCCTGTGCACCATAAACCATCCTATTTTAAAGCCCTGCAGAGCCCAATCAAATATAGGTAGTTCTTGAGTTACGACTGTTCAAAGTTACGACAGTGCTAAAAAAGGAAACTTACAAATGGTCCTTGAGGTTGTGGCCATTCCAGTACCCCCGCAGTCACGGGATTGCGATCTGGGTGCTTGCCAACCCATTCACACTTACAACTGTTGCCAAGTGCCCTGCAATCACGATTGCCATTTGTAACCATCTCTGCCAGTTTCCCCCAAGCAAAGTCAATGGGAAGCTGGCAAGGAAAGTTCCAAGTTGCTGGGGTAAGTATCCCTGCCCCCCAACCTCCTTGCAATTACACACATGCACCCTGTGCCCTCTTTCTCCAGCCTCCCCGCAATTGCATGCACCCTGCATCCTCATTCTGAGCTCATGCCGTACCAAGGACCCCCTCCCCTGACTCACATGCAGATTTTATTGGGCCTCCCCCATCCCCTTGTGGCACCCCCACACTCCTTCACTCCTTACCTGGGACTCCCTCTGCTTCCCACTTAACAACCCTTGCTGCTTGGGTTATGACGACAACTGGGACTGCCTGGATTGCTGTTGCTAAGCGATGCAATCATATAACATCACGCTTTACGACCACATTGCTTAGTGATGGCAATCCCGGTCCCAACTGCAGTCGTAACTCGAGGACTACCTGTATCCTGGTTTTAATGACTTAAATCTTCAATTCCTTTCCATGTAAGAAGAGAATATAGCTCTGAAATAAATCTGAGCTGTAGAGAAGCATAATTGAATCATTTATATACCCAAGCAACTGAGAAACTCAAGATGTACATTTACTATTAAGCAGAATCAGCTTAGTGGTAAAGAACATAGTTGCAAATAATAGATTTTAAGTTCAATTTGTTTGCTATCCCTTCGTATTAATACACAAAACCATCAAGTTAAGAAGAAATAAGATTGTAAGGCTTACTCATTCAATCAAAAATAGAATAATTGTATACTTACTTTCATCTACTGCAAGAGTGCCAACTAAAAAACAGGTGAATGGCTTCTTTCTACTTTGTTTAGCATGACGATGGGCAAGCCGCAGTGTTTTTTCAGCAATTATTAATTTAGGATTTCTAAGAAATAATGGTGACAGAATTTATTGTTTCTGAACATACCAAGACTAAGACATTCAGCTATCCCCCAAAACTACTAATTACAAGCAAAAACTGTATACCAGGGGGAAAAAAAAGCAATGGGACAGAAAGTTGAAAAAACAATTTCACAAATTGTCATATCTCAGTCGCTTCCCATTTGTACTACCACAATGCCCTCTACATGGGGCTAAACCCACAAGTTTAAAGTGAAAACCACTTGGAAGCTACAACGGCCAAGAAAGCAGCTGCGGAGGTAGTAGTTGTGGGCATCCTATGTAAGAACTTTATTCACTGAGCTGCACTGGCTACTGGTGAGATTCCAAGTACAATTCAATGTTGGTTGCCATCTATAAAACCTTTCATGGCTTACAGTCTGGTTAACTTGGGACCACCTTTCTTCTGTCGCTTCTGCCCAACTGGTAAGGTGTGATATTGTTGGCACATTCACACTATCATCTTGTGAGATCTAGGAAATGCACCTTCTCTGCAGCTACACTTGTCCTATGGAACAGTGAGATTTGTATGGCGTGAAATTTGTGCATGGACAAAGTTGTAAAATCTTGGCTCTTTCAACAGGTCCTGAGTAGGATGAGGTGATGCAATCCTTGACAGCATATTTTGATCTCTGATTAGGATTATGTTTTCTCCGACTGATGCACCGTATTTATTATTGTTGTTTGGTTGTTGTTCTTTTCTTATGTTGATATTTTAAGGCTAATAAGTAAGCCTTTCAGAACTACTTCAGTGATTGAAACAGCATACAAGATGATAAATAAAGTAAGAAAGCTCTAGAAGCCTCACTTTGACCCTTCCTGAAATTTAGCTCTGGTTTATTTCATTACCTAGAAAATAGTCATCTGAATTTGTTCTGAGTTACACACTAAGAAAACCCATGTTTCGATGAGGACATTCTGTCCTTTAAGGACAGGAAACTCCAAATCTTACCACGGTTATATCACAGTATATACCACAATAAATCAATAATAATTTGGGAGGAAAGAAATACAGTATTATTTAATGGTTAACTCAGTCCTCCATCACTGATAGATGAATAGAAATGAAGAAAATCACTAAAATGTTTGGTGCTCCCAAATACTAAACTGTTTAGCCCAAAAGATTACAAGTCTTACCTATAACTAAGGTGACAAACAATGCTTTCTCCAATAGGAACAGGATTCCAAAGTGCAAATTTTGATGCAGGAAAACTAAAGGGTAGCATCTTTCCCAAAACCCCTCTGAAAGATAAAACATTTGATTTGGGTATAGTTAGTAGAAAGAAGATGACCAATTTTTCAATGTGACAAATTCTTTCAAAATGACAAGAAAGAAATAGTTTAAGATATAAATTTCAGACAATATTTTTTTTTTCAATTTCACCAGAAAGTGTCATGAATTGTTTAGGTATATGAACGTTAAATACAGTATTTTTTATTCCAAACAGGAGCCTACTTGAAACAGTACTTTTTAAGTTCAACTGTACAAAGAAATGTCCATTATCTGTTCATGTACTGTATGTACATGTGACATTCATATTGCTTTGTCTCAATAAATTGCGTAAATGATATTAAATGCTCTATTTTTCATGCAATATTTAAGAATCCATGCTTCAGAAATCATTTTAAAGTATGATACATATGCTTAACAAATGGCCATTTATGGGGGAAATTGGTGTATTTTATTAAATGTTTTAGATCTATAATCTTGCTCTGACTTACTAAATAGTCAAAATTATTCTAAAGACATTTGTGTTTGCCAGAGTTACTCCCTTTTACAGAGTTCAGGTTGGAGTGTTTCTCATTTAAGAATGAACAAGAGTCCTTAGAGGGCTAGGACCATGTGCAGCTGACTTCCAACTGAAAATGTTCAGATATTTCATTCTTAGTGTCCATAATTATGCAATGTAAATAAGGAACTAGTTTAGTCTGCAAATTACAACTAGCCTACATAACTACTAAACCCTAAATCAGTATTACAGAAAAGAAACAAATAATCTTTAGAGCAAACATATTCATTCTCCATGGGAGTAGGCTGTAAAATCATTGTATCTGAACAAAATATCAGTAATACCTTTGGTTTTGAGATTCAGGGGAAATCAGTTCCATGAGTCTGAATGTATGAAATCTGAGTACTCCACTCTACAAGAAAATGTAACCCAGGAACATTGAGACACAGACTTTAACTATTACATTATATTCATGTCTGACATTTAACATTCTAATATATTAAAGGAAGATACTAAGCACATAACTGTTAATTGTAAATATATAACCTTGTAATTTACCCATCTGTAGCTAAAATACTTTTTTTCCAATAGGGCAACCAAAAATTCATATATACTTGAATCAAGGATTATAATTTTGTAGTAGGTTTCCTTGTTTTCTTACAGAACATTTAAAACAATAAATCAAGACTAGTACCATCCCCCTAGCATATTCTACCACTTTTCACCAAATAAGAACAGTAATTTTAGCATTAGCCTTTATTTTATCAAAAACACAAAAACATCAAGAATTTTAAAAAATAATTAGAAAATTAACAAAGAATACAAACAAAAGCAAGCAAAAACAAACTTGAAACATACATGTGCAGTTTTAATGACAAATATATTAAATAACTATGTTAAATATTTTTACCAAAAACATACAAAAGTGATCTATCAGGAAAAATATTAATACTTATATAGAATGGTGACAAGATTAAATTCAGTTTATCTTTTCTGAAGTGTTTTTAAAATAATGTTTGTTGGCATTAATTTTTCAGCAGAAGCTATTTCTATTTTTAAGTATCACTAATCCAAAGAAAGATGTACTATATAAAGGTTTGTTATGCTGCAGCAATTTATATGCTTAAGAAATATGGACAATAAACCAACAGCAGGATTCATTGTGAAAGACTGTTGGGCGATTTTCCTGATTTCTTGAAAAACTTCAAGTAGCAACATACTGAATTTCTTCAGAGACTTTCAGGAATTATTTTAATTTTCCAATTACTCAAGCATATAAACTGCTTCAGTTACAACCAACTTGGTAACAAGAGCTAAAACAATACAATAATATTACATAATTGTCATTAAACCTAATGCACAGAGAAAACACTTTCCAATATAGACAATCACAATCTTGGGGCAAGGGGGGTATGACATATTTACTTCAGTCCCCAAAGGCTAGACAACCATGGCCTTCATAAATTCCAAAAGGTTGGAGCTGCTCTACACCAAGCAAATCATGTTGCTTTGTAGAAGAGAGAGCCCATTTTTTAGGCCCCTGAATGTAACCTTCTGGAAGAGTAGGGACCTGAAGAAAGCCTCCCCTCACAATTTTACTGGGTAGGCAGTTATGACTGGAAGCAGACAGTCTCCAAAGTACCCAGGTCCCAAGCCATGTAAGGCTTAGTAGAAATAGATTAATATGAGTATGAAAGACATCTGGGTCAAAACAAGGTTTTTTAACTTGCAAAATGAGAAAACAGACACATTTTAGCTTAGCAAGCCAGTTAAACTGAAGGAAAGAATATAAGCATCATCACTGTTTGTGTCCATTATTAAACCACAAGAAAATACAAAGTTTTCCATATGTAAACTTCAAGGAGGCATGAGGCAGTAGTGAAGGTAGACTTTAATTACTCTGTCATTTATTGCAAACAAACTCTGCATGGTCCTTCCATGTCAGATTTCTCTTTCAAATGATGAAGCCAACACTCAAAGATAGAAACAAAACTCAAAATGAAGTTAGGGAAGTGAGATACAAATGCAAAGTTCTTCACTTAGGGAAAATAAATAAGATGGGAATACCTATTGGAGGGAATACTCAAATAGGATGGGAACAGTTTACGTGAAAATGAACTTGGAATTGTGCTTAACCATAAGCAGAATATGGGTCAGTAATGTGCCATGGCTATTAAAAAGGGAAATACTATTTTTAGTTACATTGATATTTGAATCGTACTGATTCTTAGATAAAGAAAAATAACTATATTTTCAATTGGTTCAGACTCCACCTGAAGTATTACATCTAACTGAGTATTACATCTGAGTATTACATCTAACATCTAACTAAGTAAATGTGAGATATTTGCACTCACATTTAGGCAATAATGTATTAACTTTCACTGCAACTCCTATTCAGCATTTGATGAAAATCCTCCTGATTTTCATAGTGTTTGCCATTTCATATCTTCCATTTGTTTCCTTAAGTTTATATCCTAAGCTTCTTCTAGACCCCCCGGAGGTCACCTAACTCTTTTTCTAATAGATTGGGAGGGGTACTTAATTGACTTCTCAATGTTTGTGAAACAATGAATATATATTGCATCTAGTTCTGAACACCTCTGCTTCACAGAGGAACAATTAAGTTATATGAGGATAGACTTAAGAGAATTTGAAAAAAAGGAGGAGGATTTTAATAGCATTTTTCAAGTACTTTAAGGGTTGTGTCACAGGTAAAATTCTACTACCTGTCTTCCCAGAGGCAGTTTTATAGAACAAAAAGCTTAAATTACAAGAAGGCAGCTTTTGGTTCACTGTTTAGGGGGAAAAAAATATTTAGCAGAAGGAACAATTGGATAGTGAAACCAATTATTAAGAAATGTGGCGAGCTCTCCATAGGATGGGTTCAGACAGAGGCTGGACATCCATCCATCAAGAATGCTTTCATTCAGATTGCTACACTGAGCAAGGGATGGGATTCAGTGACATCAATGCCTCACAGTGAAATGACAACAAAGAAGCTTCCCAGATATCCACAAGTTGCAGAGAGTACCTGCTAGGTGACAAGTTAAGAGGCTATAAAGGACGACATCTAACCAAATAAGAAATGTCGATGAAAATTCATGTCCCCAAATCCCTGAACTTTAACTGTTACTGCAATTATTTCAAATTATCTCTGAAGCATACTCTGAACACCTTCAGTTACACAACCTCACTCATAGCCCCGTCCGTTTTTACCCAAACTATTTGCTGGGGAAAAGCTGATCGTTAACAAAATTGTTCATATTCAATTTACCCAGTTGAGATAAGAACAGCCCATACGCTGGCGAATTACTTTAAGGAAGACGGATACAAACCACTGCTGATAGCAATAATTAGCCTCTCATTTATTTCTCTGCCAGCACTGCAACACCGCCTGACCAGTAATAAGAAAAAGAACAGCCAAGGCCTTTCCCAAGGCAATCCCATAAGGAGATCCACGCACAGTAAGGATTTGAGTTTGGTCTTCCCGGGCACGTCTGCGTTACCTGAGTAACGTGTTTGAACGTTACTATAGAAGCCTCCACCCGAACTTGTATAAAAAGGGAGACTTAAAAATCATTACAAAAGGCGGAGGGAGAAACGCCTTATACATAAAATCGGAACGACATAGATGAAAAGAATTCTCTGTACAAAAAAAATGCCCGCATCAAGAGCAATATCGCCTCACTTACCTCACAACTCTCATTCAGACTCTGTTTTTATTCCCGAGGCACCAGAGCCAGATAGAACTATCAACCAAAATAACTGAATTCTTATTCCCCTCCTGTTGTGGCGGCTGCAATGGCGGCACGTTCAGCCAATCCGAAGTCCCCTAGGGCAACTCGACGTAGCCAATCAAGATTCGTAACAAGCGCTTTCCTCCGCCCACCACTTTTTGAATCGTTCATTTAGCGTCAATCAGGACCATCGGGCCCGCCTAACGGTTTGTGGTAACCAATGACTAAGCTCCTGGTGAAATAAAACCACCTTTCAAGCTTGCGCGCGCGCGCGTATCTCTTATGGGTGGGATTTTAAAAACATGGGGTTTCTTTTAAACGGCCTCAGAAGCACAGCTACTGCGCAAGCGCCGAGGTTAACGAACGGGCAAGGGGTGTGGTTCTTTTTGTTGCCATAGTAATCGATGCTAAGACTCCCAGCAAAGACACTGGCTGTAATCACAAACACCTTTGAGCAAACATAATTAGGAAAGGACTGTTAATGTTTTTACAGCCCAATTCTAGATACTGGCTCAGAAGTAAATCTCACGTACGTTCAGCAGGTTAGGAGCATCATACTCAGGCCTTTCGAGTTCAGTGGGGCTTAATCCCAGGTAAGTGAGATAGGCTTGAGGTCTCTCTCAGTTGCTGCAAAACCAGCACCGTAAATACCAAGTCCGATAACTAAGGGTAGAAGCAGTATGTGGTTTATAACACTGTCGAGTAGTTGAAGGGAGAATGACGTGCCTGACTGAAACACTGCCCAAAATAGAGAATCGGTCAAGTGATGCCACTTCTCCATGCTGGCTGGAGAAATTCTGGGAGTTGAAGTCAACACCTCTTAAAGTTGCTGAGGTTGAGAAACAGTGCTCTAAAGCTTATTATAATTGGGTTAGGAAGCAATGGGATACCACTAGAAAACAGCAAAGAGACTCTAACCTGCCATTCTTGCTATCCAGAGGCATTAGACTAGGTTCCAAAAACCATTTCAGGGGATTATGTGAAAGTACCATACATCTGAAGAACATCAAGTTGAGGAAGATTGCTCTAATTCTACAGCTTGCAGTGCCCCAATAGGTTTTCACAGACAAGGCAGAGAGGAAATTATTTTCCCCATAGATTTCTTTAGGCAATTATGATGTCTTTATACAAAAGACTTTGTGAAAAAGAATTGTCTCCCCATGCTGGGCACAGAAATTCTTAGATAATTACGAACTACTAGTCTTAGGCTATGGAGAGCCTTAACTGATATGCAAGTTTTGACAACTACAATTTTCTTTATCTGGCTTATTGTCTCATCTTTAAAAATAAAAACAAATACCTTTAAAAATTCAGCACTAGAATATTTCCCTAGATTTATGAACTATACAGATCTACATCTCTCAGTTTAGTGACTTCTCTGAAATCAACTCACCTCTCAGTGATAGAAGTTTTAAATGCACTTTCAACAGTAATGACGACTTTCTAGAATAGTACCAAATGTCTGCTAAATGATCAGTTGGCTATTTACATGTATTGTTATGAATGGATATACTTTGCTTTCCCTCTGTAAGTCAAATAGAATTGCACCATAAATTCCATTAAAGTTAAAAGCATATTTTGCCAAGAAATAATCAGAAGTAAAAATTTTAGGGGAGGCCAAATTGCAGCATGCATAAATGTACCGCCTAGGTTTTTCATGAACACACTATTCATTAAAATTATTACAACACATGGTGGTTTCTCAATGAAACCGAGACTAGCCAACAGTCTTTAGATTTCATCAAGTGAATTGAAGCTCTTTTTCCAAAACGACCTTACTGGCTCCTTGACACCCGCCCTTCTGCCTGCCTTCGCAGTGGAACCATATTTGCCGTCCGACCGCCAATCCGGGCCCGCCCCCGCCAGGCCTTTCTCCTGCCCTCTCTCCCTCCCGTGTTAGCGAGAGCGACGGAGAGGGCGGGAACCCGGAAGCGCTTTCGCTTCCTGGTGACACTTCACAAGCCACCTCAGTCAGAGGAGTCGGCGGCTAACTGTAGTCGTGGCCGGATTCTTCTTCTCATTTCCCTTCCTCTTTCTTGCGGCGTATGTTTTGTCACTGCCTCTTCTGGGCAACTGCCGGTCGTGTAACTGCTCCGATTCTTCGCCTCCACACTTTTGCCACTGCTTCTTCCCTTTCACCTCGCTTGCTGCTCCTCATGAAGCCGGTGGTTGTATTCGTTCTCGGCGGGCCTGGTGCCGGAAAGGGAACCCAGTGTGCCCGCATTGTGGAGGTAAGGGACGTGATAGCATTTCGCTTTTTCTGCATTTCTGTTCCTTACTGCCGGGACGGAACTACAATTTCTAGCAAGCATTGTACCTCAAGAGTGCCGGCAACTTGCTTAGTCGGAGCGCAAAGAATGATGGGGGCTGAAGTTCTTAATGGTTTGCAGTCCGGAAGATTCTCATAGTATTCCAACTGACCTACCTGGTGCCGGGTCTAGTGGGTTCAATTACGCTACCACAAACGGGTGTTCCAGAACTGTTACACGACTGTTCCCGGGAGTTCAGTCAGTGCCCATCATGACTTGGTGATTACACAGGAAGTATAATTCAACACACTGAGAAAACTCCGCTTTGGGGGAAATTTGGACTGATAGTTTTACATAGATTAAAGTTTGAAGCCCAAAGATAATAAACAAATAGCTAAGCAAATCTGAATGTTTTCTAATGGCGCATGAAAATAAGCTTTAATTTAAGTATACAAGTAAGATCCTTTGGGACTGAGGTGGTCAATAAATGTTATACTTTAAATGAATAAATTCAACTAAAAGGGAAAGAAATATCATTTCCGGGATGGTTGGAGGTATGAAGGTGGCATAGCTTTAGGAAAGGCCCTATACTTTGTACCTATCTACGTAATTTGAAAGAAGCATGGGGAAAGGTCTTGGATGACTGCTGCAAGAAATACAGTAAAGCTGGATTCATTCACACATTGCTTTCAGCCATAAAGTCCACCTTTAGTTATGGAGATTTACTGGGTGACTTTGGGCCAATTACTCTCAGCCCAACCTACCTCTGAAGATGTTGTGAAAAAAAATTAGAGGAGGGATTTCTATGCATGCTGCCTTGAATTAGAGGAAGCACAATATATAAATCTAATAAATAAATGGAATGGTTTTTGGTTTTGTCACATAAATGCAGCCAATTGTGATTTTTTTTTTTTTTACAAATTATTGTTAAATAATAAAAAGGATAGTATGATGCAAAATCCAAGATTAGCTTCAAAGCCTTGATGTACCTAGACCAGGAGTATACATCTTCCATCAGCTTGAGGGCTGCAGTAGGCTTTGTGTAACATATCAACACCATCTTTTTAAAATGGGTGGAACCAGGAACCATTCTCGGCTGGCTTTCAGGGTTTTTAAACAATGTCTTATGTTTTACATTTCTTTGCTTTATAGATGCAGAACAAAAGACTACATCATTCATTTATATTATAGAAAACCTTATTAGAAAAGCAAAAAGTGTTAACAACATTATCAGACATATAGTTATGAGCACAATATATTAAAATACAATCTGGGAAATAAAAAGGTCATATAATAACAGCTCTAGCTCTGTTTATTTCTTGGCAAATATGGCACCATGGTAAGGAAGAATATGGTGCCATATCATATCCACATGGTGCCTTCCTACAAAGTGTAGGAAGATTTTTTAAAAATGTGGTCTTCCCTTTTATTTGACTTTATATTCATTTGTTGTGTTATCTCTGCAATGCATGAATCTCTGACACTGGTCTAACATTAGGTACTGATTTAATATTTTGGTAGATTAGCATTTTAGTAAATTTGTATTTTAGTTTTCTATGATTTTACTCAATTGGTAATTTCTTAATTCAGCTTTAAGCCTTTCAGGGTTATTGCTTTAGCATTTTAGTATTTGCACTTCTGTTGGATTTTAGCTTATTTCTTTCTTTTCCTTACTTTTTTCCCTATTTTTCTCTGTATCTTTAATGTTGGTTATGAAACTGTACAAAAGTTGTCAGTGGCTGTAATAAAGCAAATTGAATTGAATACTTTTTTCATAATGAGTGTGGATGGAGTGAGTAGGAAAGGCTTGTTTTATAAAGATGAGATGAGAATAAAATTCAGCTTTTGCCACAGTATTCACCCCAGTCAGGACTTTGCCATTCAGGGCCAATGATTGACTTATTTTGCCCTTAACACAGCAATATCATTTGGACTGCTTTACTTTTCCTCAAAGACTAGCACTAGCAATAATTTATTTAAGTTAGATTCTCCAATTTGAGCTCAGTGTTTAATGACTTCATGGATATGCTTGTGTAGTTGTCTTGGTAGCAGAATAGGTGTGATTTGGCATTGCCTTCTTCCGTGATGTTGGATTAGCTAGGTGCTGCCACATAGCTAATAAATAATTCATTTATTTGAGATAAAATAGCTTATGTGGAGCTCTGTCTATCTTAGATATATCAGTTCTTTGCTTTAGTTGCAAAGCAAAAGTTCAAAATTATTTTAATATGATTGTTTTAAAGAGAGTAAGGTATGGCAATGACACCTAGCTACATTTTCCTTCCTGTCCTAAAAGTTGCACAGAGGTATATTTATGTCACAATAAATTTGAAGGAGAATTTCAGTTGATGGAAATATATGTCTGTTCTTTATTTATAAATTCTCCTGTTTTTTATCAAGAATTTCAAAAGTTTTCTAATTTAAAATAAATATGATTAGTTCAGGGGCGGGGTGTTTTTTATGTTTGGCTTTCTGGGAATCTTATGTTGTACTGTATAATTTCTAAATAGCTTAAATTGTTTTCCAAATATTCAAAGGCAATGTATATTTTCAACAATCTATAGGTTTTTATAGAAGGAAACATGGCATTTGTTTCTGATGCTACCAGAAGAACAAATTATGTGCAAAGGAGACCTCCATGAGTTTGAACATGGAATTTTCCTTGATTTGGTGAAGTAAAACTTGATGCTGACAGCTACTCTCTGCCGAGGTGTACAATAACGGATTCTGAAGGCAATGTATATAAGCACTAGAATACATTGATTTCAGTGGAAACCCTTTTACTTAAGACTATATTAAGGTTAAATATGCAAACCAATCAAGCCAGAAATAGTTAGCCGTCTGAGGGTCAGATTATAACTTTCATATTTAATATGTAAAAGAGAATACCCCCTTTTTTAAAAAAAAAAAATTCCGTTCTCCACAAATTGTTTTAAAACATAGTCTTCAGCTGCAAGTAGAAATACTACATGCTAGTGTAAATATTCTCAGAATAGTTTATGAAAGCTTTGGATTTATTTTACAGCCTCTGCAAGTAACATTTGAATTACATGCTTAAAATATGAGGCTGAACATTCAGCAAGGATTGTTTTTGTCTATTTTCTCAACAAAATCATTACAAAATCTTGCAGTTATCAAGCTGCATACATTTTCTAATAATTTAGGAGAATATATTTTCCTATGTTATACTGGCATAAGCTTGTTTTCAGTTGTCTTTCAGTGGAACAAAAATATAACCAAATTTTTCATTATCTCAGCTGTTGGTAAAATAGTCGATCTTCGTCAAGCTCCAAAATTCCAGTTTGAGAGCAAAAGATAACAATTATACAAATAAGTGGGTATATATCATGTATTGATTGGAATGAGGTAATCTTCTTTATTTATATTGTATTTTTTTTATCTTGTTTATTTCATATTGTGAGGTGCCCAGAGTAATTTTGGAGTCAGGCAGTGCCTAAATCTAATTGAACAAACAAATGTATAAAGTGAAATAGTAGCATAATCTTGTACATGGTTATTTGGAAGAAAAGTATCAGTCCATTCAACACAAGTTGAATGCATGTTCATAGAATTACAATCTTTCTTTTTCCCTCTCTCACTAGCCATTTACATCAGTGACATCCTGAAGCTGGATTTGTTTTGGAGTAATTTAGCTTTTTTTTGGTGGTTCAATTATCCAGTGATGTTTTATTAATTTACATGATATTTTTTAAAGTATTTGACCCTTTATGGATTTTCTACTCTAATATAACAAATAAACAATTCTCCTTTTCCTGCATGCTTCTTTGTTAGAACAAAGATCATTCGTTTTGTTTTTCTACATAGTTTTGAGATCCATCAACCAGGGCCAGGCACAAAATAATCATTATGGGACGCAAGATAAAATTGAGCAAAGTGCCTTAATCTACTCTATTCTGGAATTTCTTTTTAGTACTGAAATAGACCTTGCTTCCTTTCTCTCACAAATCTACAACTCTTTTCCCAGAGTTACTTTGCTGAGTTTCATCATCCTGTTTTGATAGGAGAAAACATTTTGTTGTTATTTTAAAAATGTTTGAGGGAGGGGGGGATGTCTACCTGACCTGCTAATCATTGGAAAGCAATGTTCCAAACCCAGTCTACTTCTTTTCTCACTTAAAATATATAAATTATAAAAAGATCCTAACTCTCATGGTGTTAACTCTGGACTGGATTGTGTATCTTGTGTTCTTGTACCTCTGATATATTCTTCAAAATGTTTTTTTTTAATTTCAAAGAGTTGAGGAAATGGCAAACATCATGCTTGCCATCTTTTTATCTTGTATGTTTTATTGATTTTACTGTAATTTCTTTGATTGTTGTGAGCCACCCAGAGTCGTTGAGAGTTGGGCAGCATACAAGTTTAATAAATAACAATAATAATAATAATTGTTGTTATTACATATAAGTTAAGAAGAAAATGGAAGAGGTTTAAACATCAGATGTGAGCAACCTGGCAATAAGAGTACTAATACAAAAATTGTAACATTGATATAATCATGAACAAAAACACTGACATGCTGTTGGTTGTTCACATTTATTTATTTATTTATTTATTTATTTATTTATACATACGATTTATATGGACACCCATCTTATAGAAAGGAATCTGGGTGGCATAAGTTAAAACCAATACAGTAAAATTAAATCAGCTATTCAGATAACTAATGTCCGAGGTCAAAGGAATCATTCCCAACTTATAACTGAGAAGAACAGTAAGCTCACTTAGCTTCCTGGCCCAAATATCTTCAGGAACAGCCAGGTCTTTTTTAATATCATGTAGAGGTAGTTAAAGTACACTTATCTAATCAACACTTTATGTGGATTTAACTTAAATATGGTCTCTTTCCTTTAGAAATATGGTTACACCCACCTTTCTGCAGGTGACCTCCTTCGAGATGAGAGAAAAAGACCAGGCTCTCAGTATGGAGAACTTATTGAAAATTATATTAAAGATGGAAAGATTGTACCTGTTGAGATAACAATCAGCTTGTTAAAGAGGGTAAATTTAATCTAATTTCTCATGTAAATCTAAAACAAAGTATTAAGGTATTTTATGTACTTTAATTTGACTTTTAGTAGCAAAATAACACATATGACAAATGGTTTACACTTTTCATGAAATTATGCTTTTCTTTTTATGAGCATAGATAGAACCAAGAATAGATAATTCAAAATAATTTCATTAGGTATGTGCTACATCTGTTTTCACAATAAAGACAAAATTCTGGATTGAGGCAGTCTACTTCAGTGAGATGTATACCTCCTCTGACATAATTTGATCTAAAGTAGACCTGAAGCCTGCTACGTTTTGTAAACTCAGTTGTTGTTCCTTTGAATCTTCCCAAGTTCTTCAGATAAGGAAAATGCCAAACTACAGAGGAGGCTATGGTTTTGTGAGGGACAGGTTTATCTTCTAACCAAATAAAGACATAATCAACAATACATTTGGGAGAGACAGTAAAGCAGTATGTCAGAAACAGTTGAATTGGTTTTGTACTTTAATGGCTTTGGTGGTAACTGAGCATAAAAAGAAAAAAAATCTAAAATGTTGTTTGCAATTCAACATAGCTCCTTAATCCCTGTACTACTTGACTTAATTTTTTCTGGGAATATGCAAAGATACATTTCTGTACTGTTCATCATAGTCAACAAAGTTCCTCAGAGAATGGCATCTTTTTAAGTCTAGGACTACCAGATCTGGACTTAGAAAGTGTGGACAGCCACCAAACGCATCAAAAAGTTATCCTTTTATTGCCGTATAGTGGTTGTCCAGGTTTTTGCCACCCAGATTTGGATACCATATTTGATCTCACCCCACAACATTTACTAAATCTTTGGAAACTTGGCAGATATAATTCAACTGCCCCAGGAGTAGCTAATTACCTGTCCATATCATTTGGTTTGACTAAAACAAGTCCAAAACCCACAAAACTTGTAGCCATTTGTTCATTTTCCCATCAGCATGGATCAGGGACCTCCAAACCTTTGGAAAACTATATGAATTGAAGCTGTATCATGGAATTGAATTAAAATATAATATTACTCAGAGGTGCTGAACTATTTTTTATTAAAATCACCATTTTAAAAATCCATCCCAAATTATTATTATTATTGTTGTTGGCCGACCAATCAGCCAGATGTTTGGACTGGATTTCGCATTTTTATCCACCTATCGTGTCCTTCCCAAGGACATGATGATGATGATGATTTGGATTTTATATTGTTCAAGTTTAGTCAAAGCAAATAGCTTAAATTAACAAATATAGTGTATACAATATGCAATTTTTAAAAGGGAAAAATGCTTGGAAGTATATATACTTAACAAAACAACTGAAGGAAATTAAACCAATTTGACCAAAAGTCCTCCTTGACCCTCTGATGAAAAAGGACTAATTTAAATATTAACAGAAAGCTAATGTTAGTAGCTACCTGCTGCAGATCATTGGTTCTGAGCCCAAGTAAAATACTAAAACTGATTCTAAACTTTTTTCTATTTCTGCCTCTCCCCATTTGTTATAATAGTAATGAAATTCAAAAGACTGAATCCAAATATGACAGTCTGTTGATGTCACATTATTCATCAGTGAAAAGGACTCTCCCTTCCTCCCATTTACTTCCCAAACCCTCTTGAGAAGCATTAGGAGCTACACAGGGGCATGGATGAATGGAACTGAATGAACAGATGATCTGTTGTCTGAGAAGAAATCTGTTCATCCGGGTGCAGTGCTAAGTGGGATATTTCATCATGGTATGATAGTTTATTGATATCTTCAGATTCCTTTGACTGTTAGTTAAATAGTAGAAATGTGTTCAGTTTTTTTTACAAGATTCTAGTACGTATACAGATGTTCAGATGATATGAAAACATAATGATTGCAAGAACATTGCATTTTATATAGCTGTGTCAAAAATAATATAAGGTTTCTAATTAGAATTGTTTTATTGATTGCATACATGATTGTCTCCTGTCATATTTTAATCTGAGCTATTCTCTGTAGGCTATGGATGAAACTATGGCAGCTAACTCACAGAGGAATAAATTCCTAATTGATGGATTTCCTAGAAATGAAGATAATCTTCAGGGCTGGAATAAAACAATGGATGGAAAAGTGGATGTATCTTTTGTTCTCTTTTTTGACTGTGATAATGAGGTAACACTAATACATTTCCTCTTATACAGAACAAACAAACACTATTAGCTTTCTTCCTACCTGTTGTATATCAGGATTTAAATTAGTTAATATTTAAATGTCTTGATATTTTTCCCCAGGATGCCTATGTAATTGTTTGGCAAGCTGGAAAATATTATTTTTCCTGGAGTAATTACTGTACCAGGTTTGAGTTGTAAAACTGGGAGATATTATCTTTTTGCATCAAACAATAGTTTAAAGAAGGTTCTGCTAGATTTGAAATACTGTGGTGTTCAGGCAAAAAAATCAAAGTTTGTAGTAACAGTCCATTTCACATTTTCCTTTGCTTCATTTCATTCTTTGCAATTTCCTTTATTCTTTGCTGAATCTTATATACAGTATGTATAGTGACCACACTTGCACATAATTCAGGATTGTTCATAACTCTTTGCTAACTATAAATGAGCTTCTGGCTGGCAGGTGCAGACAATTTGCTCGTTTTTACTCTTCTCCCTGATATGATTAGTAAACAAACCAAAGGCAGTTTGCTATGTGATTCACAAACCAAGATATTCAGTTCATCTCTCTCAGACAAGCCTAAATCACAAAACAAGATTTGTTATTTGTGTATGGATTTTGTCCTCCTCTCCATTTGGCATTTCTATTTATGGTGAGAACTATGTCCATATTTATTTACTACTGACTATCTGACTATATCATTCAAAATAGACCAAAGCTTTGAGAGAAGATAACTCAGCTCATACTATTTGAAGCTCCAAACAGGTTTTGTTTGGCCTTGTCCAAAGCAAATGAACATCTTAAAAAAAAAGAAAAATCCTGATAATGTGGAGTCCTTGGGGTTTTCTGAGCTTGGTTCTTTTCTTGCAAATGTTTCATTACCTGGCTAGGTAACATCTTCAGTGCTAAATCCAAATATGCAAGAGAATTCTTGGAAGCCTGGTATTCAGACAAGGCAGCAATTCACAGATACATAGAGATAAAGAGCATCTACATACTATTCAAACGAGACAAAAGACCAGATCGCCTCACCAGCAATCATCACCCAGATAAGCAAAGGTTACC